CTAATATTATAATGATGTTGATAATTGTGGAATTAAGATTTAAATTATAAATGATCACCAATTGAATTATAAAATTTATAATATATAGTTCGTTAATCAAATTTTATCTCGATCGATATTTGATTTTTAAACAAAAATATGAACATTCTAATAGTAAATTGTGTATATATTATTATTTGAATACATAATTTATATTAAAGCGAATTGCAAAAATTAATTACACTTGTTTGAATTATTATTATTTTTAAAGTTTATTATATATTATGATTTACTCATAAGATTTGAATAGTAAACAATAAAATTGGTAGAGCTATAAAAATTGAAGGAGATTAGAGGGTATGGATATATGTCTTACATTTTATGGTATAGTTTAATTTGCTATCTTATTATATTTAATTATTAAGTATATAATCAAACAATAATTTATATGTATGTAAAGATACACTAATGTTGTTGAAGTTCATTTAATAAACCTTATTTTAAATGAGTTTCAAACCAAGTTTGAGTCTATCTTTAATCTCATCATTACATATAGTCAAATTCAATATTATTAATATTTAATTCAAAAGTTCATAAATATGTCGAATAAATATTAAGAATATTACGTTTCTATATTATATATAATTATATATAATAAATAAATAAATTTGATACATTTGTGGGAGTCTAAATAATAAAATATTATCTGTTAAAATTTTATTATATAAAATACACAATATTTAATAGAAGTAAAAAGATTATTTTAGCTATAACTAATATAAAATATAATTTTTTTATATATTAATAATATTTATTATTATTATTTAATATATAAATATTTTATTTTGAGTTTCTTAATAATCTAATTAAAATAAAGGTCAAACATACTAATATACTATTTTAATCAAGCTCGAGTATTAAAAAAAAAATTAATTTAAGTTCTAAAACTTATTTGAATCAAACGATATATGTTCGGTTGAATCAAACTCAGTCATTCAAATATTTAACATAATTCGCTTTATCTCAATTATAGTTGTAAGATATATATTATTTTTTGAGTTAAAATAACAAACTCCGTCTCTCTGATTCTCTGATTCATATATTTCATCACCAGTTATTATTATATATTATATTTATATCATATATTATTTTTTTATTTTATATATTATTATTAGATAATCACATAAAATTATCTATACTTGTAACATTTTTCATATCTCAAATTAATTTTATCAATTATATTATTTATTGAACTCCTCGTATCATAGACTTTTTGAAATCACGACACTTAGTTCTAATCAACTGCTTAACAAATATTTATCGTGATATCTAGACGTGTATATATCCGTATTCACACGTTATAACATCTTATTCAAAACAAAACTAAAACCTAATTCGTTGCCAACTTTATTTTACCCTAACAAGAAACATTTATTAAATTCAACTAAACATGTAAAACAGCCATATATAATCCATGGCATCTCATTAAATGACTAATTACCAACCTCTTAATCAAATTAGATGCTTCAATAGTTCAATTTAAAGTCACAGTTAATTTCCAACATAAATTTTATTTTATATTTTCTGTAATACAAACCATTTAAACACAATTAACCAAAATAAACTTAATTAACCACTAATCTTATCCCCATTATTGATTTCAAGAAAACAAACAAATATATTAAATTCAAACCATAAATTTTTGGATTAAACCACTATTTTTCGAAGGTATTGTTTAGAAAATCGGATGGAACTTCCTATTTTGACAGCCAGAGACAGGCTTAGCTGTGTGGGTGTGGGTGGGGGGGCCATCTGCTTCGTTCAACGAATCCTTAAAAACGACAACGTTTTTACATGACACACACCTGCCGCGCCACCCGGCGACAAATCAAAGGCACGGTGCTGGTTGCTTAAATTATGACTGTCCTGCTCATGAGTTAAAACTCCAAAAGCTAGAAAAACAGTCTG